ACGGGCGCGGGGGAGGTCGGGACGAGGCGAGATCCGGCGAAGGCGCAACTGACCAGCCCGGCGGCGAGCTCCAGGGCGACGCCATGGATCCCTGCCGAAGGGAGAGAGAGGGAGGTGTGAGAGGGAAGCGGGATAAGAGGAGAAGGAAGGGAGGCGGCCGGAGGAGCTGGCTTCGGCGTTGGCGACGGCGATGGACTCCGGTGGCCGACGGGGATGGAGGCGAGGCGTGAGGCGGTGGGGTTGGTGCGGATCGGGGTCGGGCGGTGCACAACGGCGTATGATGCTGGCGCGTGGGCGGCTCGGGCCCGGGTTCGGCCTGCGGCAGGCTCCAGATGGGCCGAGCGGGCCTGCAGGGGCAGGGTAGAACGGGGAGGCGATGTGGTAGTAGCGGAGTGGCTGAGAGCGGCGGCGCGGCCGGCGGCTGAGACGACGCTAAGTGGCGGAGTGGAGGTGGCTGGGCACGGAATGCAAGGTGGGGGTGGCGGCTGAAGGTAGGGGGATAGGGTTTAGACAAAAATGGAAGGGGGGGAGGCTGCTATTTATAGCAAGGCCAGGTTAGGAGGGGGCTTTAGGGGTGTTTTCGGGACGTTTGATCTCGATCGAACGGTTCCGGCGAGAGGGGTAGTGTAGGTGGGCTAGGCTGAGATGAGAGGGAAGTAGTGCAGCCCGACACGGTTTTCGAAACACAAAAAATGTCCGATGTTTGACCGGCTATAATGCCGCTATAGTTATCCGTTGGGGTATCAAACGGACTCCGAATGCGACGAAGTTTAGCAGGCGGTCTACCGACAATATAACAAGACCGCACGCCAACTTCCAACCCATTCCGAGAACATTCTTATCCCACTTATAAAATAATATTTCGGAGGTGCGACGGGCACGTGTGATTGTGGTTGGTCTCAGAATGGTCAACGAAAGAGAACTGGGAGACCCGATAACTACAGCCGGATGCAAGTTTTTGAAAAGGATGACGTCACGAGTGATGATGCAATGCGAATGATGCGGCGATGAATGCAACAAACAAATGAAACACATGGTCAACAACGAAATAGATGGAAGGCATCTGGAGCATCGGTCTCGGGGTGTCACAGTAGGGTGTTGATATCCTTTGCGTCCAAGAAACCAAATGGAGGGGACAAATGGCGAAGGAGGTGGAGGATACCGGCTTCAAGCTGTGGTACACGGGGACGGCTGCAAAAAGAAATGGCGTAGGCATCTTGATCAACAAGAGCCTCAAGTATGGGGTGGTAGACGTCAAGAGACGTGGGGACCGGGTTATCCTGGTCAAGCTGGTAGTTGGGGATTTAGTTCTCAGTGTTATCAGTGCGTATGCCCCGCAAGTAGGCCACAATGAGAACACCAAGAGGGAGTTCTGGGAAGGCCTGGAAGACATGGTTAGGAGTGTACCGATTGGCGAGAAGCTCTTCATAGGAGGAGACCTCAATGGCCACGTGGGTACATCTAACACAGGTTTTGAAGGGGTGGGCTTTGGCTATGGCATCAGGAATCAAGAAGATGTCTTAAGCTTTGCTCTAGCCTACGACATGATTGTAGCAAACACCCTCTTTAGAAAGAAAGAATCACATCTGGTGACTTTTAGTAGTGGCCAACACTCTAGCCAGATTGATTTCATCCTCTCGAGAAGAGAAGATACGCATGCGTGCCTAGACTGTAATGTGATACCAGAGAGAGTGTTGTACCTCAACATAAGCTGCTGGTTGCTGACTTCCGCTTTCGGAGTCGTGTTCAGCGGGATAAGCGTGCCAAAGTTGCTAGAACGAAGTGGTGGAAGCTCAAGGGGGAGGTAGCTCAGGCGTTCAAGGAGAGGGTCATTAAGGAGGGCCCTTGGGAGGAAGGAGGGGGTGCGGACAATGTGTGGATGAAGATGGCGACTTGCATTCGTAAGGTGGCCTCAGAGGAGTTTGGAGTGTCCAGGGAAAGGAGAAGCGAAGATAAGGATACCTGGTGGTGGAATGATGATGTCCAGAAGGTGATTAAAGAGAAGAAAGATTGTTTCAGACGCCTATATCTGGATAGAGTGCAGACAACATAGAGAAGTACAAGATGGCGAAGAAGGCCGCAAAGCGAGCTGTCAGTGAAGCAAGGGGTCGGGCATACGAGGACCTCTACCTAGGTCTGGGCGCTCGGTAGAAACCGAAAATTTGGTTTTTTATTAAATTCGGTTTGCTAAACAGGAAACCGAAAATGGCAGTGCAAAATAGGTAACCAATATTTCGGCTAACCGAAAAATTCGGTTTGGTTTCGGTATATACCGATGCACCAGGACATGAGTAGTGCGCTTTGCGCTTGTGCCTTACACCACCCAGGCATGTCCTCTTATATAGATGATTTGCTGCCTACTTCTCCTTAAACAAACAAGGTGGGACTAAACATGGTTATGTTGCCAGCCGGTCGCTCCGTATTATACCAAGAAGCCCACTAAGTCAACTCAACAAAATAAAAAAGAAGCCCACAGACTCATGCGGGCGGCTAAGCTTCCTTTGGGCCTTGCGTGCATGTTGGTTGTAGGGCTTGCACGCATGTGGCCTCCGGCCGCACGCGGTGCATGCACCTTAGCGACGTAGACTGGCATACGTACGCACTGTTCGGTTTCTAATACAGTTAACCGAAAATAATACTGAACCTACCGCACTTAATTCGGTTAGTGAGTGTAGAAACTGAATTCTTATGCACCATTGATAAAAACTGAAAATTTGGTTTTTTCGGTTGCGGTTTCGGTTTGGTGTTCGGTTCTCGGTTTTTATGCCCATCCCTACCTCTACCAACGGTTAGGTATGAAGGAAGGCGAAAGAGACATCTATAAGATGGCCAAGATTCGAGAGAGGAAGACAAGGGATATTGGCCAAGTTAAATGCATCAAGGATGGAACAAACCAACTCTTGGTGAAGGACGAAGGACGAGGAGATTAAGCATAGATGGTGGGAGTACTTCGACAAGCTGTTCGATGGGGAGAATGAGAGTTCTACCATTGAATCGGACGACTCCTTTGATGAGACCAGCATGCGTTTTGTGTGGCGAATCCAGGAGTCTGAGGTCAAGGAGGCTTTAAAAAGGATGAAAGATGTGGAAAGGCCTCGGGGACATAGCGATAGTATGGCTAACCAAGTTTTTCAACCTCATTTTTCGGGCAAACAAGATGCCAGAAGAATGGAGACAACGTATATTAGTACCAATCATCAAGAACAAGGGGGATGTTCAGAGTTGCACTAATTACCGTGGAATTAAGCTGATGAGCCGTACAATGAAGCTATCGGAGAGAGTCTGAGCACCGCTTAAGAAGAACTAGTGGTTGGGGCGCCATCCTGTGGCGCCGCTATATGAAGTTGTGTGCACGTTTCCATTTAAGAAAAACATGTGGTCCTCGCCTCTATCTTAAAAAAAACATCTCAAAAAAAATCCTCACCTCCATCTAAACAAGAAATGGAAAAGGAATTTTTTTACCACCGTAGCCTAGCGGCAAGCGCCACTTTGAATAACCCTTCATTTAAGAAAAAACATGGGTTTCTGATCACCATCTAAAAAACATTTCAAAAAAAAAATCCTCGCCTCTATCTAAGAAATATTCCAAAAGCTTTTTCACCGCGACCAACCAGCTTGCGCCATGTGGCATAGCTAGTTGGCCGCCAATCTCGCCATGCTTAATGGGTTTAATGACAAGCATGACCAAAAATCAGTTTGGTTTCATGCCTGGGAGGTCGACCATGGAAGCCATTTTCTTGGTACGACAACTCATGGAGAGATACAGGGAGCAAAAGAAGGACTTGCATATGGTGTTCATTGACTTAGAGAAGGCATATGATAAGATACCGCGGAATGTCATGTGGTGGCCCTTGGAGAAACACAAAGTCCCAGCAAAGTACATTACCCTCATCAAGGACATGTATGATAATGTTGTGACAAGTCATGTCGCCACTGATGACTTCCCGATTAAGATAGGACTGCATCAGGGGTCAGCTTTGAGCCCTTATCTTTTTGGCTTGGTGATGGATGAGGTCACAAAGGGATATACAAGGAGATATCCCATGGTATATGCTCTTTGCGGATGATGTGGTGCTAGTTGACGATAGTCGGACGGGGATAAAAGGAAGTTAGAGTTATGGAGACAAACCTTGGAATCGAAAGGGTTTAGGCTTAGTAGAACTAAAACCGAGTACATGATGTGTGGTTTCAGTACTACTAGGTGTGAGGAGGAGGAGGTTAGCCTTGATGGCAGGTGGTGCCTCAGAAGGACACCTTTCGATATTTGGGGTCAATGCTGTAGGAGGATGGGGGTATTGATGAAGATGTGAACCATCGAATCAAAGCCGGATGGATGAAGTGGCGCCAAGTTTCTGGCATTCTCTGTGATAAGATAGTGCTACAAAAGCTAAAAGGCAAGTTCTACAGGACGGTGGTTCGACCCGCAATGTTGTATGGCGCTGAGTGTTGGCCGACTAAAAGGCGACATGTTCAACAGTTAGGTGTGGCGGAGATGCGTATGTTGAGCTGGATGTGTGGCCACATGAGGAAGGATCGAGTCCGCAATGATGATATACGAGATAGAGTTGGGGTAGCACCAATTGAAGAGAAGCTTGTCCAACATCGTCCGAGATGGTTTGGGCATATTCAGCGCAGGCCTCCAGAAGTTCCAGTGCATAGCGGACGGCTAAAGCGTGTGGAGAATGTCGAGAGAGGTCGGGGCAGACCGAATTTGACATGGGAGGAGTCCGTTAAGAGAGACCTGAAGGATTGGAGTATCACCAAAGAACTAGCTATGGACAGGGGTGCGTGGAAGCTTGCTATCCATGTGGCAGAGTCATGAGTTATGAGTTGGTCGCGAGATCTTATGGGTTTCACCTCTAGCCCACCCCAACTTGTTTGGGACTAAAGACTTTGTTTTTGTTGTTATATATATATAGGTTTGCATAACTCAAAACAGTTTGCTGTGTTCATTGGTTAATTGTCTATATATTCTGTTATATTCTGTTTTACTTTCACAGGCTTGGAGACTAAGGAAGCTCGGATAAATGCTATGCGTTCAGCTATATCTGAGACATTTCCTGAGCCTAATCGGCGCTTGTTACAGAGGTTAGACTCACGTTCTCCTCATAGCTTTTATTCTGCCAGTTTATGGTAAATGCAATGAATAATTTATTATTTATTATGTGTGAAATCATGCTTGCTGCCGATCAACGTGAGCATGTTCTCATTAACTTGCACATTAAATAAGAACTACTAATGTGGACTATTTTAATTGCCCTCTAACTGTACAGTTTTTACTTCTTCTTCACCATTTTAGTTTGGACTAACAATATCTCAATGGTCTTGACCAGTGTGTTGTTTGACATTTGATTAATTAGACTAACACTTACCATGACAAAAGAAAAGTTTCCTTATGGAGATTCTTGTTTGCAGAATCTTGAAAATGATGTACATTGTTGCTTCTCATACCATGGAGAATCGGATGACCGCATCAGCAGTTGCTGCCTGTATGGCCCCTCTCTTGCTGCGTCCGCTTTTGGCTGGGGAGTGTGAGATGGATGAAGTATTTGATGTGGATGGTGATGATTCTGCCCAGCTTCTTGCTGCTGCAAATGCTGCAAACAGCGCTCGGGGCATTGTTGCAACTCTCTTGGAGGAATATGAGATTATATTTGATGTAAGATTCTCTGATACTTCAATTTTTTTGTCCAAATCTTTAGGTGGCTTCATTTCCTTCATGATAGTTGTTCATAGCCTCTAGGCATTATTTCTTTTTTGCATATAATCTGTTGATTATATTGAAAAGTTACTGCCCATATGAGTTATTTCTATGTGCATTGTGGCCATGACTATATGTGAGGCAGCCGCTGGAACACTTTGCCTCTTTCTGTCTCTTGGACGTTCTGTTTCATTTACACACATAGAAATAACTCGTATGTTCAGCCAATTGGATGCTCATATTTAATTTCTTTGCAGGATGACCGTCTTGTCAGATCTTCCCTATCACCTGGGTCTCAGATTGAAGACAGTGGCAGTGAAGCATCAACTGATAATGTAAATATGGACACAAAAGATAATGGATTTCATGATGCAGAAAATGATGTAGATCAAGAAATGGACGATGACAATGGTGCAGAGCGTATACTTAGTGGAAAATTGAGTGAGAGCAGTGGATATGCTGGGAGCGACCTATATGATTACAAGGTTTTGTTATGCTCCCTGCTTTATAAGCGTATAATTTGTGCTTATTTCTAGGGTTATACTGTGATTACGCATGCACATATATATGCATGCGTGATTTGATTTTAGGATCAGTGTCGTAACTGCAATGATGCCGTTGCTTTGATTCTTATTATACTACTTCTGATTGAACAACAGGTTCATGCTGATGATTCAGACGCTGATTGCTTTGTTGATGATAAAGGATTGGAAGAAGAGACAGATTTAAGCAAAGTTCCAAAAATTCATTCATCTGAAAATGGTTCAAAAAATATGGAAATGCCTCCGAGTGAAAAGAATCCTTCCAACCCAACATCCGGTCATGAAACTCCATTGTCTATGGGAGAGATTCTTTCTTCTTTGGATCCTGGAATTACTTTACCTAGTAACAGTTCGGAATATTCTGCAGACAGACACTCGAACAAAACTAATGGATCTCACTCACATGTGAAGCGCAGTAACTTTTGGGGGCGTAATAGTGTAAGCAATAAATCTAATTTATATTTTCTTCCTTTCGTGGGGCAGCCGAGTAGGAATAATGCATTGTTGTGCCAACTTCTCTGGCGTGTGTTGAATTATGGTTCTCTTCATATCATCATTCAGCATTCTGATTTTTATGCATCATTTATGCAGGCAAGAAAGAGTCAGCATTCAGAATCAGTCGACTCATCTGGTGAAGAACAGTATGCTCTTTTCCACTAACAGCAGTCTTTTGTTTTTACAGAGTGAACTGGATTTTTATTTGAGAGCGAACTAGGTTTTTAGTGGTATTTCTCGAGCTTCCGTTTCTTCCGTTTAGGGAGATTCCGTCATCAGTCCTGTGTTGCCTATGCTTGCGCCCCAAAACGGTTGACTTTGTACAACTCCCTAGGGTGGGGAGGATCGCCCTCCCAATTCGAAGTTTTTTCCATTTCTTTGATTTTCCTGTGTGCTTTTTAGGCGGCTATCTATATTAGCCAAAAAGCACTTACATTTGAGACCGGGGCAGGATTTGCCATTGCTTGCTCATTGCGACAACTATAATTACCATAATTTGCCATGGTTAAAAACCTGACAATCTGACATCCGATTTTAATATTACCGAAAGAAAATCTGGGCCAACTTGTTTAAATTTAACTTTTTTATGAAAAGGTTATGAAAGCAGTGGATATAAATAGTGATGGAAATAGTTTTGAAATGGAAATGTAGATGAAAGCAGTGGATATAAATAGTGATGAAAATAGTTTTGAAATGTAAATGTAGATGAAGTTGCCTGTATTTTCAATTTTAAGTTTCAAATGTGGCCCCAACCCCTAAAACTTTAGCTATATGTATATCTGTAGTTTCTGCCTTAGTTAATAATGTTGTTGCATTGAATATTTGTTGTTTGACAATGGATGTTACAAATTAGACGGTAGTGTATAGTTTAAAAACTACTGTTAGCTTCCTGACTATTTCGCTGGTGATGCATGTGCAATTTATCAAGGTCAATTTTTCTATGAAAACAAACCTTTCAGGCTTGCGATTCAAAGGCTTGAAATTGCGAAGAATGATTTGCAGAACAGAATTGCCAAAGAGGTAGGGGAAAACTTCACACTAACTGGTTCACTTTTATTTATCGTCTTCCAGTAATCTAATGGAAAGTGTCTCTCAGGCTCGGGGTAATGCAGTTTTACATGCGAGTTTAGAAAGAAGAAAGCAAGCACTACATGAACGCCGTTTGGCCCTGGAACAGGATGTATGCTGCATTCCCTTGCCTTGTTAATTTTGCTCGGTAACCGCATCATATATTCTATGTTAGGGAAAGAGCCATCTCTGTTGCCAATCGCTGGGTTTCAGTTTATCTTAAACTTCATTGGTTGCTACTTTGTTCCACATGACAATTGAGTCGTTTACCTGCACGAAGAATGCTAAATGAAAGAATATTTTAAACCTAATGTCCCATTTGTTCGCTTGAGAACTTTTTTCCTTCTTTCAGTTATTTTTTTGGTGGAAGTTTGTGTGCTTTCTACATAGTGAGTCATCATTGTTAGTGATGTCTTTTGACCTTTTGCATTCAGTCTGGCATTCTCCTGTAGCCTTTTGGCATCCTCATGTATGTGTATATATGTTGGCTTTGGCCTTCTAAATAATACAAGTTGCTATTCTCAACATGGTATTAGAGCTCTAGGTATTTTCTTCGCACGCGCAACTCGTGCTCTCCCGATCCAATCTCCTATACGCCCGCCGTTGTTTTGTTTTCTGCCGGCCCGTGATTCTGTTGTTACCTGCGTTCATCTCCAGCTACAAGAGCTTCACATCCAGCTGTTGTGTGGAATCCAGTGTTTCACCGATGTGTGTTGGATCCCATCGGACTTGGTCCCGATCGATCCAGCCGCTCGCTGCTGGTCTTCCTCCTCGGTCGTCCGGGCCGCTGCTCTTTCGGCTACCCATCGCCCCTCCGTCCGCGGCTGCCCGGCGCCCTCCTGCTTTGGCCGCCCGGCGCCCTTTCGTCCGCGGCTGCTAGGCGCCCCTCCGGCTTCGGCTGCCCGGCGCCCCTTCGTCCGCGGCTGCCCGACGTCCCTTCGACTCCGGCTGCTAGCCACCGCCGGCCCCTTCCGCTCGTCGCTGCCGGCGGCCCGTCCTACCCCGCTCGTGGCCCTCGTCCGAGTTGGTGGTCCTGACGCTGGTCGTCATCTTCACCCACCAGTCGTGAAGTCCGGCTGATCGAGGTCCCCTGCTGCTTGAGGTTCGACCTCTGCTATTGGCCTTTTGTCTCCCTGGCCAGGTCGCTGCCATTGTTTTCTGCCTGATTGGCGTGGATTGATCTAAAGACAAAAGAGGAGCATCATGTCTTCAACATCATTGGGCTATGTCGCCGTTCCACGCTGTCCGGTGATTTTTGATGGTGCTAACTATGCTGAGTTTGCTGCCTTAAAGCGCATTCACATGCGTGGCCTTCGTTTATGGGGAGTTCTTTTCGGTGAGGTTCCCTGTCCTCAGCGTCCAGTTCCTCCTGTGGCTCCTATCCCACCGCCACCTCCATCGGCTCTTGGCGCAGATGCTTCTGATGATGATAGGGCTGTAGCCCGGGTTGCTGCTGATGATGCAGTCACTGCTTATGACCAACATGTTGCGGTTTATTCGGATGCTCTTTCCATTTATCGTGATGATCTGACTGCTTATACTCAGTGGTGTGATGATGATGCTTGTGCTGTGGCTGTCCTCACTTCCAGTGTTTTACCACAGTTTGCATCTGAGTTTATGGGCCTCGGTACTGTGTTACCGAAAAAGGCTTTCGCCCCGCTTTATATATAAAGCACCAATCAACAAGCACCCGGTACAAACACATGCCAAGACACCACAACACACGCACACACCCAGGACAAGATACATAGGCGCTGAGCGCAGCAAACCACCCCTAGTACTACCGCCCCGAAGAGATGAAGCTACATATGACGAACCATGCGCTCCAAGGCGGCGCCTTCAGGAAGGATACGACACCGGAGCGCCGCCACCGCCCGATCCAAGGATCAGAGTTTCCCCTGGAGCCGCATGACGGGCAATGATAGCCGCGACGACGCCTTCAAGAAGGGAACGATCTTCGCCGCCACCGGTCCGTCCGAAGATAGAGCAGGTTTTCACCTCGGCCAACATTCACCGCCACCGGACGCCACACCCCGGCAACCACGCCGCCCACACGACCATGGTGATGGGGCAGCACCAAGGCACGGGCTCTGCCCAAGAGCACCGCGCTACCACCAGCAGGGCCGCCGCCCCAGCATCCAAGACCTCGACACCACCTCACCCGAGACCCGCCGCACCCCAACGAAGGAGACGAGCGGAAAAGTCCCACCGTTCGCGCCCCTGGGCGACCCCCAGCGTCGAGACCCAATAGGTTGGCCAGAACTAGCATCCACCGACCCGTCCTGCTGCCCCGAGCGCGAGACGAGCTCGGTCCTGCGGCATCGAGAGTGGGACGAGGTAAGTCCTGCTGCACCGTACGCGAGACGAGCTCGGTCCTGCTTCATCGTGCGCGAGACGAGCTCGGTCCTGCAGCACCAGGCACGAGACGAGTGGTGGACCGCAACTGGGAGAGGACCAGCCCATTGATGGGACTAGCGCCCGGGCGACGAGGAGATGGGGTGAAGGTCGAGACGGCCCGAACGCAGACAAGCCGACGCCGGAGAAGCCGGCCGCTGCCGCGAGCAGATCCATCGAGCCACCGAGAAGCCGCCACGACACCGGTAGGCCACCATCGAGACCTACCCATGCCACCGCCCACGGCCGGAGCAGCGACCACGCCCGACCGCTGCCCTACCCGCGTCGCCCGGCGAGCTCCAAGCGCCGGAGCCGCCGGGCACGCACCACCGGAGCCAGGCGCCGCCGGCCAGCCCCCAAAGCCAGATCTGTCTGGATCCGGCAAGAGACCGGCCGCGCGCCACCTCGAAGGGGCTGCCCCGCGCCGG